TATATATATATATATATATATATATATATATATATATATATTCTTGGGTGGGGCTTTTGCATTGCCAAAGGCGAGGGACAGTTGCGATTTATCTATGCATTTGTTGCATTCCTCTAATTGTTTTTTCGCTCTATGTTGGTTATATGGTTTAGTCGCGTACAAGGATGGATAGAGCGAGAGCAGACATATCTTCTTCCTTCTTGCTGGCATTGCTTTTACGTGCAGCACCCCTGCACAGGCACAAACGCGTTTACATGTTGAGTCTGAAGCCCAGAAGATCTCCAATGAACGACAATATTATAAACAAATATTTTATGAACCGAAATACTCTGAACAAATATATTATGGACGAAAATATAATGAATATAATGTACGAGCAAGACCAGATCAAAGCAGGAGGCCGCCGCCAGATAATGTACGTATTGCAGTAGACAGTGAACAGGTGCCCGGTGTACATTGGTGAAGCACAGTTGTTTAAATAGATGCTTATATCAATGCTCACTTCTCTTTCTCGAAGCGTTTTCTGTACTTCTCGGCAATGGCATCGAACTCGCGAAAGGACTTTTTGTATTTTTCTGTGGCTTTGATTTTCTGATGGGCAGACGCAGCGAAGGGGGGCAAAAATTTAAACCCGAAGCCCCAGTATGTGTTTATTCAGCATGCCAGGCGATATTGTTCCAGTTTTTGTCGGTGTTCCTTTCAGTTCATGCAAAGTATTTACCTTCGCTTTGAGGAGCTCGGAGAACACGTCCATGTAGCGTTTGCAGTCGGAGGGGTCGCTAAGAGGAACAAATTCGAAAAATTTAGACAAGTCTCCGTCGAATCTGTTGTTATTGCATTGCAAAACAAACACAGGTGGCTGTTGCGGTCTTCCTGCATTCGTTTGTTTGTTGTCGGGCAAAACACAGATGCAGTTCGTGAATGCATAATGAATATATTTGCGGCGTGCAGCTCAGGCTATGAATGCAGAATGGGCGCCATCCCATGTCTAATTGCATTTGTGTCTAGAGTACTTAGCAGTGAGGATCATGTGGCTAGAAAGAGGATGGGGAAGTGCCCTTGTGTTCTGATAGTGTGAATACTCGGTGCCCTTTCTGTTGACGTAAATCGTAATCCACAGACACATTTTAACTAATGAGGTGCTAGGGCTGCGCGTGGGTTTGTATGTTCGCGTTTTGCGGCGTTGTTTACCTGTTAACAAAGTCTTCTATGTCCTCTTTCTCCTCTTCGCTGCCGATGTAGCGGCGCTTGAACTCATTAATGGCTTCTTCTGTCACTTCGGGGAACTTCTCTCTGTAGAATGCATACGCCTCCTCGTACGACTTGCCTTCGAGGCTTTCTTCTCCCGTCTCTCCTGCGGGTGGTCACGTGGAAAACCAAATTAAGACGAGTGAACGAAATTTCAATCCAGCTCCTCCGGACTTCGCAAATTGATGCACTTTAACGTAGAAAATACGGACTGGGGGAAAGGTGAACGTTCCCGCAAATTTCAACGTAAAATGTGCGGGTGAAATGCAACGTGAATATCACGAAGCCCCTGAATAGGAGGGAGGGAGCGCTGTGTGACGCCCGCCTCGCGTCCTCTTCTTTGCGTGTTCTCCTATTTTATTGCTTCAATTTGCAACAACTTCAAATAGAAACAACTGGAAGCTGGTGCAGCGCTGCGTCGGCAGAGGGTTTAGCTCGCCTGTTCTGTCGTAGCGTTCCCTTTTCTTTGGGTCATTTAGGACGGCGTAGGCGGCTTGAAGCTGCTGGAAGTGTTTCGTGGCTTCCTCTACTGAAATGTTTTCCGTGTCGCCCTTACTCTCACCGCTTCCTTTCTGCCTCTGACGAATCTTATCAGGGTGGCACAGTAGAGCCCTGCGTCTGTAAGCAGAAGTAATTTCCTTTTGAGAGGCATCCCGCGCAACGCCTAGGAGGTCGTACAGCGAATGAGAAGCTGCACCAGGTTTCCTGTTGGCTTTAGAAGAGGGTTGAGATCCCCCCCTTTCTTCCTTTCCAGGCTTCTGGTCTTTAGGGCTTCTTCTAGCGGCTTTCTTGCCCTTTGTGGTGTCCTCACTGCTGTCCTCGTTAGCATGTGCCTGCCGCCGGCAAGATCTGGACATCTTCTTGGTTTTCGCTGTGCGATGCTAGAAGGTACCACTAAATAGACTTATATGCAGAGGCTAGCGGCAAAACAGCGACCTGTTTCCTTCCCTTTTGGCACCAGGCGAATGGCAGATGATGGGGTGGGTGTAGGGTGAGTAGAAGCTCGACTAAGGTGCTTGCTCCCCTAAAACAAAAATGAAGAATTTAGATATCAACACAAAAGAGAAGCTGCGAAACAGGAAGACACACCAGAAAACAATGGCTCTCCTCAAGCAGCCCGTCGCGTTCAACCCCACCGCTCTACACACCGGTGGCCCCCGGAAGCCGACACAGGTGTAATTTCGGGAGCAAACGTGTCATATGCCGTTTTAAAGTAGATTTTTGCCTGTTTTTTTCATCTGATGGGGCACTAATGTTGCCAAACAATCACTGGAGGGGCGGGTTTAGCACGTTTCTCTCCGCTCACCATCTAGGGGGCCCTCCAAGACAGTCAGCCTCGTGCCCTCCTATTCCAGCATTTTCCCCTTCGGGCGATTCTGAAACCGACGGAGGCAGTCTGGCGCTCTATTTCCTATTGGAGGAACCAGCAATCAGTCTTCTCTTCACAAAGCTGTAGTGGCAGGACGGCGGCATCGGCGCTGCCTCATGGGTCGCACGTCGTCAGCTTTTGTTTTCCTGCAAAGTTCTGACTACGAAATCCGGTTGCAGATGCATGTTGGATGCTTATAGTGCGGCTTCTGCTGCGCTCAGTGGACAGTTGCTGCTGCCCCGAGCCTTTGGTGGCAGCTCGTAACGTTGTATTTCCCCCCAGTTAGCTAGCTAGCTACGGCTCATGGAATTCGGGCTTTCAGATGAGCGCCTGCGGACGGCCATTCGCCTCAGCAACGAGGCAGCCGCTAAGGACTCAGCGGGGCATCTCCCGGAGGCATTCGAGCTGTACAAACGGGCCCTAGAGAACTGGAGGGTCGTCTGCAAATGTAAGCCAACTTCCCGTCACCCACCCCAGGGCTAGGGCTTTCTTCCGTAGACTTTCTGCAGTTAGGGCTTTTAAGGATTTATAGGGATATGCTCTCAGGATATGGGGTCTTGGGTATTAGGCTGTCTGGCTTGGCACTCCAGCGCAAATTTCAAGCTGGTGTGTCGCACCACTTGCACAGCAGCTGAGGACGGAAAGTCCCCACATTGCCAGAAGTCTTTGATTATTCCTTTGAGTCTGCATCTAATGCAGAATTGAGCGGATTTGTAGCTGACCTTGTGTCAAGTGTATGCTTTGTGTTTCCACATGCAACATTTTAAAAGGTGCATTTTATATTTGAATATGAAAAAATAAACTGCCTTGTGATGAGCCCGCCACTGGGTTTGTCTGTATTTCTGCAGTTCAGCAGAACCCAACGCTGAGGGAGCGGCTGTACAGGCGGATGGACGACTACATAACTCGGGCAGAGCAGCTAAAGCAGCTTCTTCGTCAGAGCTCAGCTTCACATTTGCGGCAGCGTTTGCTTCTCTACACACCCTCTCCCCCAAAGCCTCTGGGCCGCAATTCAATTCATGCGGCCGTCACTCCTCCTTCCCGCTCCCCAGCCTCCCCTTCTTTTCATAACACGCCTGCCAATGCCTCAGCGGCAGACTGCACAGTTACCACCGTCAAGTCAGATGCGGATGCTGCGGAGGGGGAACGCATAAAACAGAAACTGGCGCGTGAGAGGTTTCGCGCCCTTTAGTCGTTGAGTTTTGATACAACACTAGAAAAGAAAGCGGGACTCAGTGCAACGGTGGATGTGTGCTGGTGCTGCTTTCCTTCGACATTCAGATGCCATTCTCACGGAAAAACCGAACTTCAGATGGTCAGACGTTGCGGGTAAGCAAGCGCTGCGTAAACACTTGGGCTTTCAGGCAGCGGGCCAAAGAAGCTGAGGGTATAGGGTTTGTATTGATGAATTTGCATTTCCCTTCATGCGTGCATTAGGGCTGGAGTCGGCGAAAGAGGCGCTGCAAGAAGCCATCATTCTCCCATCTCGCTTTCCTAGCCTGTTTACTGGTGAGCAGAGGCCCCAGCAGAAAGAGAAGCAACGCACTTTGCTTGTCAAAGCTTGAAGTGTACGCACAGCTCCTCTCTGGATCTTCAGGCGAAAGAAGACCTTGGCGCGGCATTCTTCTCTATGGAGTCAGTGTCTATCCCATGCTGTACAGTCTCTTCTTGAAACTGAGACGTAGTTTTGATGCCCCGCTGCTGCTTCTGCGCATGGTGGTGCTGAGTGCTGCTGAATGGGGGCTGCAGTAGCGCCAGATCACATGGATTTTGGGTGCTTCCAGCATTGAGGCTTGTGCTTTCAGCCCCCCGGGACAGGGAAGACGTTTCTGGCGAAGGCTCTTGCAGCAGAGGCTGATGCAACGATCCTCTCGGGTAAGAGTGTGACGTTTAAAGTTCGTTCATTGAAATACTGGAACGCCAGTAAGAGTAGCCATGTATCATTTGTAGGTGTTTCCTGGAGTGGGGTTGTTGCGCTCCAGCACTGTCCGTGGTCACTCACACCCTGTTTTTGTGTCTGTCTGCCTTTCTTTTTGTCTATCTGAATTTTCGTCTGCCTCAATTCCGAGTGTGCTGCTCGCAGTGTCGGCGGCGGATCTGGTGAGCAAGTGGCAAGGGGAGAGCGAGAAGTACGTTCTGTTGATTGTTTTTCTGTTTTTCTGTCGGGGGCTTTCGCTGCTCGAAATTGGGCTACAACGTGTGATGCACGCAGCTTTCCCCATTTTATTTCTTTTATATTTACCTCTGTCACGTTGCTGTGCCGAAGTGGAACTGAATTGCTCCGCTTGTGTGCCCCACTGCGAAACCTCACTTTTGTGTTTTCTCACTACGGAACTGCACGGATTGTGAAGGTGAATTGGAAAGGGGATGGAAGCCTTACCAGCAACCTTGACGGAGTTTTCACTTAGCCCAACGTGGGCCCGTTTTCTGTTTTTTCTTTTTTGTATGTCGAGTGCAGCATTTTGCATCTGTTTTGGTTCTCTTCATGCGGGTTTTCTCCAGCCGTAATAGCAACTTGGTGATTGCCTTGTGCTTTCCGCTGAAGTTTTCAAATCTTTGCAGACTGGTTCGCTCGCTATTTGAGCTGGCGCGGGAGCGGAGGCCTTCCATCATATTTATAGATGAGATCGACTCCATGTGTGGAGGTTCGTCCTAAGTCTTATTCCATTTGCCTTTGGGTCGCCGTTGTCCCTGCGAGATCGAAAGGAGCTGCCGCAGTGTATGCGCATATTATATATACATAATGATTCAATATACCTATAGGTGTATGTGGATATGCATTTTCATAACACATATTGGAGTGGGAAGTGCATGCGTCTTGTTTTGGCGTCCAGCTCGCTCGGAAAGCGACAGCGAATCCTCCCGACGCATGAAAACGGAGTTTCTTATCCAGATGCAAGGCATCAACTTCGATTTAAGCGAAGTCCTCGTTCTGGGGGCAACGGTAGGCCAGGCCGTCCGACATCAAACCCCGCATTTATAGCATCACCTCAAGGTTTGGTGTATAGAAGTGTCCCAGCAATTGCTGAGTCTGTGCAGAACACGCCGTGGGCCCTGGACGCTGCGATTCGGCGACGGTAAGCAGCGACCTTGGGTTCCCCATGTATTTTCACCAGCCTCAGCGGGTCCTTGCGCAGGGTTGAGGGTTCAGGTGCTCGAGTTGACAAGTCGGCAAGCACGTTTTGCTCGGGGTGTCCAGCACAACTGCTCGAGTAGCGATCCTTGCTGTTAGATGTGGAGCCTCGCAGGTTTGAGAGGCGCATTTTTATCCCCCTGCCCAAAGTTCAGGCTAGAGAACAATTGCTTAGATCTGGCCTGGGCGGCACTCCCCACCACCTCAAGGACGCCGACTTCCGCCATCTTGCGATAGAGCTCGAAGGGTCTGCTGCGCCGCTTCAGTGGTTTCTAATGAGTTGAAAGTTTATTGTACTTCTTTAATGTGGTAGTGGCACAGTGGAGTTGACAACTATGGAAGGAAAGCAAAACTAGAAAGTGAAGGTATTCATATTGGGAAACTGAAAACTACAGCACGCGCTTCTTGCTCTTCTGTTCCTTATGGTTTAGGTTTAGCGGCTCGGATATCTCGGTGCTTGTTCGGGATGCATTATTTGAGCCAATTAGGAGGTGTCGCACGGCGACGGCTTTCAAACAAGTGATGGTTGATGGGCGGGCCTTCTATGTGCCGTGTCGTCCGGGTGAGACTTAAGGACTAGAATACGCCTGTCTCCACAGATGCGGCAGTGCCCTCATTTCCCACCATTAGGATTTGTTCGTGATTGCTCTGTTTAATGAGCTGGAGAGGTTTAAATACTTCTTGCTGCAGATGACTCCGACCCAACTACGCGAAGAATGACTTTGATGTCCGTCCCGTCTGACAGACTGTTGCCGCCAGAAGTGACAATGGTGGGTGCCAAACGCTGCACGTACTGCAAGCTCTGCTTTTGAACTTTTTGGATTTGAAGGCAGCAGTACTAGTTCCTCTGCATGTCCATGTGGGTTTGGTTTTTGTGCAATTATTGGGAGTACTTAATTCTGGTGTCTTGAAGTAAATTTCGAACAAATGCCGCAGGAAGACTTTCATTCTGACTAGTTCCTCTGCATGTCCATGTGGGTTTGGTTTTTGTGCAATTATTGGGAGTACTTAATTCTGGTGTGTTGAAGTAAACTTCGAACAAATGCCGCAGGAAGACTTTCATTCTGCCATGCGACACACCCGCCCTTCCGTCAGCCAGGAGGTGAGGCCATGGGCGGTGCGGTTGTTTCTATTCCTTCCTCTTGTTTTCAACCAGTACACGATGTGTTCGTCCGTAACATGTCTGCCTTAATTTCTTCCTCGTTTAGTGGGATGAGTGCACTGGGAGATTTTGCCTTCAGGACTTGCGAATGCATGTCAGCTGGACAGAGCAGTTCGGTCTGGAAGGCAGCTGACAGCTTCCTAACCCACCTCTTGCCTCATTTCTAGCTGGTACTATTTTAAACAACGTTGTCGCTTTAAATGCAGCAGCTCCCGTCCAATTCCGGCTGTGCAATTGTCACATGTGGGAGATTTTTATCCGTGGCCTCTCCTCGAGTGCCTGGACATCTCGACGCTTGTAATTCTTAGCCTTCAAGATATCCCCATTAGCCGTGTAATTTCCTGTGACAAAATTGCAGGCTGAAGCGTCCAGTATCCTGACAACAGCTGTACGCTGTGATAAATAAAGCTCCAGTATATTCGCAGTGGATTTAGATACTGATTGAGCAGAAGCCTACAAGGCCCTCCACAAGTTTTATCCATCTCTGCTAGCGTGCGGGTGTTGAGTGCCAACAATAGTCTGCACTGCTAGTGTACGCAACAAACAGGAACTTGGTTGTGCCTACATGAACGGTTGCCTTACAACACTAGTTGCAGAAGGGCGCTCTATAACTCATGACAGACGCCCTCCCCTACGCACCGCCCTCAAGCGCTTGAGCCGCTGTGCCCTGGCGGGGCGGGGGCTGTCAGAGTCATCGACTGTATGGCAGTCCCCGCTCGGCCAAGATAGGAATTCCGAAAGAACAGATGACCTCCCCGCCATTCCTCATTGGTCCTCGGCACAGCGGCGTAAGGGCCTGGGGCAGGTACGAAGAATAGCCGGCCTGTCGTGACAAACACTTTAGACAATCGACGTACACTTTCCTGGCCCTCACTGACCAGCTGGAAAGCAAGTAGAGGCGAGCGTGCCGTTTCCAGTTATGCAATGCTACTCAATGCGTCAGGTCGCACTTTAAATAAAGATCCACCATATCTACTTAAGTAAGTTGAGTTGTAAACTGAGCTTCTTAATTTAAATCCAAATCCCAACCTCATCCCATGCTATTTTAGCAATGATCGTTCTCGATGCGTACACCTGCAATGACTTCGTTATGGACGCACTTCCGCGATGGTAAGTGCATTTCCCGGTTAGCAACGCCACGTGCCTTCAATAACTAGAATTGAACAACCAGAAATATCCTTGGTTACATTTTTGTGTTGCCTTGGACGGATTACAGGATTTCAGCAGGTGGAAGTTTTCGTTCATCAAAACAACCGAATGGCACACCCGTCTCCTGAAGGTTCAAGATAGCTGCGGGTCCAGTTGAGCTGCAAAAATCGCCACAGAAAGATAAGAACTATTCGATTAGCAATCGTGCGCAAGAGAGCCCTGGATATATTGCAAATGGTTAATGGTTTCACCGAAAAGTCGAGAGACACTACGCAACGAGAACGCCAAGCATGTTGCTCCGCCGCCCAGTCGTAACAATCGTGAGCTAGACCGCGACGCTTCTCTCAAGTACCTTTAATGCCCAATGCAACTGGTTCAACTAGGGAAAGGAACTGCACAAAAATTCAACCTTTCTGTGTTGGCGCTGTGGGGCTGGCATCTCGATTGCTAACGATATGCTGTCCTTGTGACCCTCCTTCCGGGGCTCCCGGCCGTTCGATCAACGCTATTGAAACTATAAGCTTTACTCTGAATCTCTCTTTTGATTTTAGGGACAGCTTCTCTTAGTGGTGTTTTGACTCGGTTCATTTTGAAAATACAGCCTCCTTGCAGCCGGCCCATCTGCCAGCGTTGCCGGCCGATGGCACAGGCTGGCGAATGAGCCGAGAGGCTCTTTCCATATCATTGTACTGTTATTTAGTCTGTGGAAAGCTTTTCTTTTCGCGTGTCTGGTAGGGTTGAATCTCCGTACGCTTCGCTTACCATGGGGAGGAAGGCAGTGGCTCTTGTGAGCGGAGGGAAAGACAGCATCTATGCTATTCACTTGGCACAGCAACTTGGGTTCAGCATCTGCGCTGTGGCTACGTTGCTTCCGCGCGACAATGCAGTGGAAACTGACAGCTACATGTATCAGTCAGTGGGGACAAGCCTGGGTGCGGCGATCGCTGAGTGCTTGGGCGTTCCGCATTACAGCGCCCACGTGAAAGGGCGGCCAGTAAACACGGAAACACTGCAGTACACACCTGAATATGACGATGAAGTTCTTGATCTTCAACTCCTGTTGGAGAGAGTGACAGTAAGAGCCAACTTTGTGGGCCCTTCGGCGACCTCTTCATCTGCTTGAGCACGCTCACGTTACTAGCAGGACAACAGGCAGCTGTAAACGCATTTTTTCTCTTTTGTACGCTTGCTGTTGGATTTATGCAGCTTGCCCACCCTCTAATCGAGGCCGTGACGTGCGGTGCCATATTGTCGGAGTATCAGCGCCGGCGCCTGGAGTACATGTGAGAAAGGGCTAGCCAAATGGAGTAATACCTCCAAATCTCAGTATGCATAGTCTAGGGAAGTTGGACTTAAGATATGAAGAGACCGTAATCCCCTTCTTTCTTTTCCCTTTTCTCCTTTCTGCGTCGCAGCTGTGGACTTGCCGGCCTGCTACCCGTCTGCTTGCTGTGGAACCGCGAACAGAAGAGTCTGCTTAAAAATATGATAGAGTGGGGCCTGCATGCTGTGGTAGTCAAAACTGCCTCAATGGGTCTGTCGAAGAAGCATCTGGGTCGTTCAATTGCTGATCTGTTGCCTCATTTCCGCGAGCTGAACCGGCAGTACGATTTCCACGTCTGCGGAGAAGGTACAACTTATTTCCTTGTTCACTTTTGCTCTTTACTTACAGATGAGGGCAGACCAGTTTTTAGAAGAGATTCGTATTCTTAAGAAGTAACTATGCTCGTCGCTCCTTCTGATCGCGGCAGTCTGGCCGGCGGATTAGGGAGTATTCTTAGGTTATGCTTGGGGTTTCGTGACGCATTGAATGGCATCTGACTTCTTCTGTGTGTGGGTGGACGGCATTGCAGGAGGGGAGTACGAGACAGTGACATTGGACTGCCCGCTGTTCACGAGAGGTTCAATAGTTGTTTCAGAGTGGAAGCAACTTTGCCACGGCGACGACGCTCTGGCACCCGTGTGGCTGCAGTCTCCAGTGCAGTGGAAAGTAGTGCCCAAGAACCCCGTGACCTGCACACTTCAAGATCAATCAACTCAAACATCAGAACTAAAGTGGCTTGAGCTTGCAGAGCTTCGAACAAAGCCCTACGAGGATCTCATGTATGTGGCCCTGAATGAATGGGGTGTCGACGTACACGATGAAGACTCCGATGCTGCCTCGTCGCCTTGTCGGACGGGCCCTGATCTTAGGACCGCCCTGCCAAGCTCTTGTACCTCCAATAAGTGCTGCGAATCGACTGGCAATGCTACAACCTCTTCTTTAGGGTGCATTGTCACTGGAGACATATCTGTGACTGGCAGTGAGGAGGGCTCGCGAATACATGGCGACGCTTCATCTCCACCTAACAAGTGCATGATAAACCTTGTTAGAGCTTGTACGAGAAGCTGGCTAGACGAACAGGCGCTCAAAATACAGCATAATGGAATGGCTGTCCGTATCATTGAAGTACTCTGTCAGGCCTCATGCTCAAGCTTCGCCGACATCCCTGAGGAGGTTCTAGACCAACTGCACATTCGGCCAATCGCTCTGACAGTTGTCGTTACTTCGTTGCCGCGGGGGGTTAAACTTCGGTTCAGGATCGTACTAAGCAGCCCGGAAGGCTTGTCAATTCCTCCCAACCTTTCCATAAAGTCTTGTACCGACGATTCAGTGGTGCACGTGCACAGTGTAAACCTATGGGTCCCTCCGTGCGCTGGGGAAGGCACTAGACCTGTTCACCGGTTACACGTTTGCTGTTCGTGTCAAGGTCTACGTTGCGAGTTGGTGTCTGGGGGTTTATTCTCTGTGGCTTATTTGTTCCTTCGTGGCTGCGACGGACGTTTGCCTTTCACGTGCGCTTTTCCTCCTGACGACGGCCTCACTGCGTTTCCGTTACGGTCGGTACCTGGAGGTATTAGCACGCGCAAAGGGGCTCTTTCAACCGTCCTGCAGGCTGCCAACGCATTCATCAGCATGCAGTACACGCGTCATCTGTGCTATACTGGTGGGGCGAATAGGGGCTTTCACCATAACGATCGTGAACGTCTTTTCATACAGAGAACAGAAATGAGTAGAGCTGGTTCACCAGAAACGGGAGCCGTAGAGTCCGCAGCATTATGCGCTTCGCAGATGAGAAACCCGCCTTTTATGGCTCCTTGCATTGTGGTCCTTGTCGTGATCGAAGAAGGAAGGGAAGGGACGAAAACAAAGTCAGACAAGAAGCTGGGGGTTGTAAAGCAACTTCTGCATTCTCTCATTGCTCGGTCTAGTCGTTGCTGCGACAGTTCATCTTCATGTGATGATACAGCCAGGCAGAGCATCCTCATCGTTGCGGAGGCTCCCAGTCTTCCACAGAAAGCAAGGGTGCTGCTGCTTCCCATGTGGGACATATCGCCCCGATTGGGTGAAAGGGATTGTGTGCAGGCATGCTGTACTGAGCACATGCAGCAGGGTGAAAAATATACGGTAAGCGTTACAGTTGTGGAACGTCATATAAAGGTCCGGAATGACACGGAAACCACGGAAACTACTGTGGCTCAGGGTGGCGGCAACGGCTTGCATTCGATGGTGGTGTGCTTTTCATTCCAACGACGACCCGATTACATTGGTCGCCACACTTTGGAAGACTTAGTGGGGCAGCTGTGCAGCACCCTTACAGAGTGGCTGTGTTCAGCACACGCGCGCGTCGCTCTCTCGAGTTGTGGAGTCACTGAGGATGCAATTTTGCGAGGAAGCGAATTGATGCTTGAATTATGTGTGTTTTATTGCCCTTCGTATCTTTGCCTTCTCCAGATGGATTCGGAGTCCTTCGAAGCAAATTGCCGGCAGCGCATTGAAGCAGGCTGTCGTGAAATTGCAGCCTCCAAATTTTTGCCCATCATTACTTTTTTCCCCGTGTTGAACCTCGAAGGGGGGATTTTGCAAGTCGTTATGCATACCCTAGCTGCATATTCCAAGTAAACTTGCCGGGTGTTTGAGAGAACGCGTCACGCGTAGGCAAAGACCAAAAGGCCTCAGTGGCTCCTTATGATGCCAGGGTGTGTCAGCCAGGAAAGGAGTGGAAACCTCCTTCGTAACAAAACTTTTTGGTGTCTTTATTCATTTTTTTCCCCGCATTTGTTTTCACAGGGTTCACTACTCTGCAGTAGCGACAAATTCTCCATCTAGAAAGCTTTGAAAAATTTACATTTGTTGCCAAGGCTGGGGAGAGCCGAGAGGCATAGCAGGCCACACGCGGAGTACATCGTCTGCGACTCTGAAAAGCAATTCCCGAAGTATTTCCTCTATTTCTCCATCCACGTCGTGGTCAGCAATGTGGTTTATTAGCCTCCACACCTCCAGCGCCCCGTTATCTGTAAAAGGAACAGAGCAATGGGCACGAATTGTTAATGTTCGTTTGGTTCCTATGGATGCTGTAGTCCTGTAGTTGTGGGCCAGCCATGATTCACCATGGCGAATGCCATACCTTTTGAGATATGGTGACCCAGTTTTTGCAGGACCAGCTGGATACCGGTGTTGAAAAGCTCACGGACCATAGGGACGTAGACCTGGGAACAAGCTAAATCCGTTTGTTGAGAAAATGAATGGACGCGCCGAAGCAATGTGACAAGGTGCAGCTAATACAGGCAGTTTCTATGAAGCAAAAGAGATACACTCCTCCAGATTAACGGATGGCAGCACTTCAACTGCGCTGGTTCTCACCTTCAGAAGAACGTCAAACAAGCGGTGCAAATACTTTATAAGATCGCGAGGATTTGCAACTGCTATGTCCATAATGGGCCGTTCTTGCTCTTGCCCGAGGAGCTCTCGCGGCACAAGGAAGTCACCTGTGGAAAGTGCATTCCAGGGACAAATATGGGTCATTTCGTAAAGCGCTTCTGCCAAGGTAGGGCAAAAGCATCAAAAATTGGTTACACGCCGGGCATCACAGCAAATCAACTACCTAAGCTGACCGTTCTCGGCGGGGAGGATGCCGTTCAAGAGCTCGATTAAGAGGAGGTACAAGTAGGAACCAAGACCCTTCACAGGCGCCATCAGCACCTTATATAGGCCAGAAGGGGCGCTACAGGAACAAAACACAAAATATTCGATATTTGCGAAGACTATGAAGGCTTGCAAAGTTTCCAACTAACGGCTCCCACTGTACATAATATTTCGTGTTCAACGAAGTCCAGCAGCTGTGGCTGTGAGCACGACGCGGTGCTACGCTCACCTTGTGGCAAACTTAATTTGAGACCATACTCTGTACAAGTTGCTAGGATAAAACACAGAAGAGCGAGCAGTGTCTAGAGAGCGTTTTATGAATACAAGAAGAGGAAGCTTCTGCCACCAGTCCCGACCGAGCTGCTGCCCGGCCTCCATTTCATCAAGCAGCTGCTCGAGAGCAGTTGTCTGCATCTTCAAGCTGTCAACCCACGGCTCTACTCCTGATATCCAGACTGCGTTCTGCACCTGAGAAAGTGCAACGTAGTTTGGGAACGGGTTCCAAAGGAGAATTTCATTGCATTTGCAGGAATTTCATTTCATTCTTGGCTCACGCCAAGTTGTACATCTTCTGCACCTCTAGGCTATATCGCGGCGAGCACTTCGGCAGGCTCCCCGCACGGTACAAAAGAGGTTAAAATCGTTTTCTTACAAGCTTGATGTCTTGTGCTGCCTCAGGGCCGATGTAGCGACCAAAAGTAGCCCGCAGGCTTGAATTCAATGCTCCAGCGGTTATTTGCGGCCAGAAGAGAAGGGGGAGGTTTGTAAGGTGGTCAGGAATTATGGTGCCTGTAATTTTGCTCAGAAAGTGGAAGCCGGCAGTACTGACAGCACCAGCCCCGATGGCGAGGAATCGAGAGTAAATGCGCTTGAGAGACCCCATGGGTTTCGCAGCACCAGGAGCTTTGGGGGAAGCTGTGGTCTTGAACAGTTCGCTTTCTTCCGCTGAGTAGCAATTGGAAAACGGAAAGGCAAACCCTTTGTAAGTCACATTTATCCAGGCTTCCGGTGACCCCATAAAGTGCCCCTACGAGAAAGCCACATAACTATTTCTTTGCTTGCCTTTTGGAGTCACCGATGTATCAATTTTCTCCAGAGAGGCAGAAAGCGCGTCGAAATTAAAAAGGAATCGCTCTTTCTTCTTCCGTTGCTTCGAGATAACCTGCGTAGCCTTCTTGACAAGACCTAGAGCCTGATCTATCATTGGGGTCAGTAACGACCCCAACGTGTTTTCCAGTCGGGCAATGATATCGAGAACGCCTTTGATGTCAATCACTTCAGCGGAGATGAGCTGATCAACGTATTTCTGGGAAAGCTGAGAATATTGGTGACGGAGGCGCTCTTCTGTGTGGCACAACAATGTGCAGGAAAGGATTCGTCGTTTGAGCTACCAACAAATCTAACAGGCGGCAAACGCTCCAGGGGCCGCCTATAATTCGTTAACCTATTAGGAAAGCTCACCAAGTTCTCTAACTTCACTGCCGTCCACTTCAAGTAGTGAAAACACTTCCAGAAGCACGTGTCCTCTCGGAACCCTTCCTGGATTTTGGACTTGGTACAAATGGGATACTTGCTCAGCCAGAAACTCCGAAAGCTTCCCAAAAACTCTCTCCTTTTCTGGAAGCGGCAAGGGACATTAGAAGGCACGTGCGCATGGCTGGCACTGAGCTTTGCAAGGCATGATATGTGCAAAACAATCTGTGAGAGTAGTGGCGTTTCTTACCGTTGTCACTACTGAACGACAGATCACTAACATCCACAAGCTCTTGAAGGATTACTGGTTGCAGCGTGCTTTTGATTCTGCCAGCAGAGAGCTTGTTCCCCAATTCTTGTTTCATCAAGGATCCAATTACTTCGGTAATCTTTAGCATTAGCTTATCTGTCCAAGTAGCATTCAGACCGCTTTGAGGAAGAATCGAATCCCTCGACTGGAGGGTTTTCCGGTACCCGTCCACTGAAAGCACAACATTTCGGGGACATACCCACCAACAATGTGACTGTATTGCAATATCCACTTATTTTGGTTAAAGGGTGGTGCTGCGCAAAGGACTAACAGGTATTTTGTTGTGTCGCGAAGTCTTCGAATCGCCGGGCGACTGTTGTGGTGTAGTCCTCCCACATTTTCAATGCTTTTTCTGAAAATCAAACCAGCAGGTGAGAAAGTCATTCGTTAGCAATTCTCCGCAGGTTCTTCTTACGCATACCGTTTTACTTGGAGGCAGTTGCCTACCCTTTGAGCTCGAAGACATTAGAGTGGTGAGATCTCCTGCAAGCACAATCCGCAATTGCCGGCACTGAAAGGTACTTGAAAACACTGTTGCTGTATCGCGTCACGTCACAAGGAGCATTCGATACAGCTGGTGACAGTTCAATGCATTTTCCAGGTTTTTGAAGCACGGAATTCCTTGCTACGCACTCTTGGGAATAACGCCTTCTCCGACAAAGTTAAGAAACGCATTTAAAGTGGGCTGTGCTTCCTTGGAGACTGAGCTTTGAAAGCTTCTCTGATCCACTGCGTCAATGATGGAGGGCAGCATTAGCGTAGACCCAGATGCAGGAACGTAGTCATTAATGGCCCTTTGCCCTAGCTCTCTCAAGGCGTCAATCTTGATGGAACTGACTGCAAAACGAAAGCGAACAGAACATTATTTTGGTTTAAGCGGCGTTCTCATCTTTTGCAGAAGGCTCGCCCCTTTACAATTCACGCATAATTATTTGGCAGTTGCTTAAGTATCAGTGCGTGAAGTGTGCTAAAAATACTCAGCTTTACGCTTACTTGCCGCAGAAAGATCTGGGCGTTGGGCTAATGTGTTGATCTCTGTAAAGAAGCCTGTCAGCCCCTGCTGGTGGATCTTGTGAAGGATTCTCCAGAGGCTTCGGCCCCGCCACATTGCTTCCAGCGCTGCAATGGTTGCATTTCCCCAGGCGAACAGCATCTCCTTATGGGTATCTGCAGTGAATCAGAGACACAAGCCCCATGGCGGTCTCGGTCTTCTGCATTGCACATGGGAGTGGAGATCATTTGAAGACGAAAAAAAAACGAATACCCAAGCGGCAGCTTACCCGTTGGAGCATTTGAGTAAATTTTGGCCTCGAGATCTGATTTTAAGTCGGCTGCAAGTTGTTGTACTCTATGCACTAGATCGTAGAACGACTCTTTGTTTATTCGACGGTCAAACGCTGTTTGAAAAGACTCTTTTTCGGACGACGAAATTCTGTTATGACTTTCGAGTAGGGTTAACACCTTCCTAAACTGAATTCGACTTATTTGGGAGCCCTCTGTCTTGTAGAACTCTGTTAAAACAAGGAATAAGCTTATGTACAACTCCTTCTGAGGATAGGCTCTTCCTAGCTGCTCTGAAGGAAACAGCGAACAAGCCACAATTTACTTAATCCTGGGAGCATAGTAGCCAGATTGCAGAATTGGTTTTGTTCCACATTGCCTCTGCGTGCTTGTATTGTTGTGAATATGAGATAACGTTTTTTCTTAACAGTTCTTGCTATTGGCGTCAAACCTGGTGTTGTTCCAAGAGCATCACCGTGAAGAGGGGCTGGAATATGCAACAAAGACACAACGCATTTGACGCGCTCTTACAACAAAATCCAGCATATCCAATCAGCCAGTGAACGCAAAATGGGTTTCAGTGTTTTAGGAAATAAGCTTTGTTACCCCAAAGTGGTATCAGGTCTTCAACTGTCCATTCCATGCGGCCTGTGACGAAGCCTTTGAGCGCATATGTAGTGCCGCAGGTTCCCATATATTCGTACACCTCAATACTGGATGACTTTCGAACAAGTTCACCTTGCTGGAAGCCTGCGAATCCAGGGATAGAATGATCTGCCGCCCTTCGCCATTATTGCCTGTCCCTGATTACCGCAAAGCGGGAAGTTGAAGGGGAAGCAGCTACTATCTATTTTTGGCCCATGGCGATATACTCAGGTGCCTCGATCGCTATAGAGGGTTCTGCATACCGCTCAGCCTGAAGATGGGTTTACGGGAGAGGACAGCTTCACCAGAATCCTTTCGGCGTAGCCTTGACACGCAATCCACCGATCCAATCTGGGCGATATCTAGCAACTCGTATGTCAAGGAGCCTTCAGAGGCCACGACTAAGTCTCCTATGGTGACTTTATTGGCTGAGGCAGCGAAGCGCAGTCAGGACGGATATTTGCACGTGCTGGTCTATGCTAAGAAGTGCTCAAATATTTTCAAACTGATGCACGCCAAATATGCATCCAGATATCTTTGCGTCTCACAAGCTGGGTGTTTGCGTTTTTAATAGGAAGCCGTACAGTTCCACCGGGTTACTAGCCAAACGAAATTTCGAAAGCTTACCAGCAAATAGTGGCTCCGTCGTAGCTTCAGGAGGCTGTGGCACTTCAACGAACTGAGCAGGCCTCACAAATTTGACGTTCAATTCAGTACGTTCAAGCACTACGAGAGTGCTGCCACTCCAAGCCTTGTCGCCAACTTGTATTGGGGTGTCTGCAAGGGGAAAAATGGAAAGAAGTTAATAATTTGCTAAGGGGCGTGATGCCAGTAGTTAAGGCTTAGGCACGCCGAGCCCCTGCAATTGGCAACAACTGCTCACTGTGGGATAATGCCTTCATAATCTCCCGGATAAAGTAATTTCTTTGACTTTCGCATTCTGCAGTGCTGTCCATTTGACTGAGGGCGCCATCCACGTGTCGTGTCACTATAGTACGCCATCTCGAAGGTTTTCTTGGATCAAGGTCAGGCTGCGCTTTTCTCCACACGTCTCGAAGCAATGCTACACTCGTTGGAGACCCCGGGAGGCACTCTGAATGGACAAAATGCCGCAAAAAAAAGTACGAACTGCAGCAAAATATGGAGTCGTATGCTTCCTCTGCCATCCTGAGATAACTCGGGCTTCTCCTCAATCAACTTGCCTTTTGGCTCGTCAAATCTGTACATTTCCTCGGATATTGTGTCCTGTACATGGAGGGCTCCTTCAGAGGCTCTTAAGACAACAAGAGACCGACTCGCTCTTTTCTGTGCTCCGGTTCCCTCTAAACGCTCGTCGATACTACCGAACAAAGCGTCGCCACTCGGTGTCACTAAAATGGAATAAGGGGTTTGGCCGGATTGGCGCCGAAGGAAACCTAGAGGAACTGAAAGAAAAATGAACAGAATGACAATACTGTTGTGCTTTCCTCAAGGAATGGCAAATAGATTTTTTTGTGCGATTCATGTAACATCTTCGACCGCTTTGCAGCGCACCCTCAATTCAGGACGTACCCGCATCGGCGTCAAATCCCTCCACCGGTGGAGGGAGGAAAGATGCTACTTCCGCAAAGTTTTCTTCTTCCAAAAATAATTGGACTGCCTATACCGAGCATCAAATCAGGAACACTGCAATAAGTTCAGATGTGCAACTAACAAGAGTGGGACTTGAACCGGGCGGTCAAGTACCATATCTAGGCCAATTGTACCTGGGAAACTGTTTTTTCGCCGCTTGCCAGTCCCAGCTTCGTCAGCCCCCAGCGAAGATGCTTAAGTGCATCGCACTGCAGTTCATAAGGCGCTGCAGGGTCGCTTTGCAGCAAAACTGTTTGGCGCAAAAGCAATCCAAGAAGAGGCCATGTAGTCTCCTGGCGCAAATGCACGCATTTTTGGCAATGTAGACTATTCTTTAAATCAAAGAAGCTGCAACAGACTACTAAGCCGCCATGTGCCGTGTCCAGGATAAACGGCAACCCACCTTCAAGCTTTCTTCGGCCTTCCCTTCTTCCAGGACAAATTTAATAACCGAATTAGCAAACGATGTCCCCCTAGCTAGTATTTGGATTAGAAAAAGCCCCGTGAAAAGAAAAACTGTCCTCTCCTGCCGGAAAGTACTTTGGTCTTGCAGGTTGCTATCTGGGAGAGTTGGAGCAGCAGGGTAACAGACAGATCACAGACCAGAATAAGAACTACGAAATGACAGCATTTCTTCGCTTACTTCACATAAAAACTGCAGACATAAACAGCAACATGTGTCTGGACGTCATAAGTTTCGACTTGCCGTTGTAACCAAAAGGAAGGTATCCCTGAATCAGCTGGTTATGCGCCCCAGGAACCACTTCTTTTGCATGACGCGTGGGTTGGGGGGGTCTGAATGGACACTGCTGCTGCATCCTCATATCAAGGAGTTCTTCTTGCTGCCTGTGCTTGAAAGTCCCTTGCCAAACAGAAAATGGGCGGTGTAGCGCAGCAAGTAAGTCGTCGAGATCTTCATCAACTTCTCTGAACGCAGCTGCCTGGCGGCGATACTCTTGTGGGCTGCTTGAAACGAAGTGCGGAGAAAGCCGTGAATAGAGCGTTTCAGTAAATCTACTTCGGATCTCCTGGATAACATCATCTATCTGAACAAGGCATATAACATGAGCGCGAACAAAGCAGAACGGACCCTTACAAACTGAAGTAGGCGCGCTATCATGTGGTGATTCACGGCAGGGACCTTGCCTGCCTAATGTTTGCTTCAGACGTGCAAGCCCACCTGCACGTGTGCAGCGTCAATGAGAGACTTCAGGTGCATGAACGCATTTGTCGAGGCATCCCTTTGCATGCACTCCTCGGAATCTGGTGGGATGCTGGGCTGTATGAGGTCGGCCGCATCAGGAAGCTCATACGTGCACGGCACAGGGACGTTGTTCTCGTTTAGAAAACTGAGTAGCTTCTCCATGTTTTTCATGCGCACCTTCCCAGTAGTGACTGCTCGTCGTCTAATCAGGAGAGTAATATCACTCATTATTGTGGCTAAGATTATGATGGCGGACACCTTTGAGCAGGGCACCGTAGCTTCTTGCTCGTCCGGGAGACGTAGGCGGGCAAAGAGTTTTCGAAAGCTTTTTTGATATGTACAAATGCGGCTTGTCCAGTATTCGCCAAGAGGAGTGGTGGAAATCGCTCTGGTAAGAATAAACTGCTCATGCTGGGGGGTCATGGGGGCTTGTCCTGCTTCAGAAAGTCGTCTCACCATGGACTTGAGTTCATTGGCCTTCAGCCACCAAGCCGCGCAACGGCTCCCGCAAGTTGAGGCTCTGAAGTGCTGCTTAACTCCGGAAATTGCGGACTCCTCCCTTTCCTTGCGAAGCAAGTACGCCGCATAGGCCGTTCTTGAGACTATCAATTTTGTCTGCCGAAAAAACGATGATTGTTCCGGGCTGGTTGGAGCAAGTTCGTTGCCGTTTGATGCACCCTGAAGAGGAAAAAATGCTCGGCTTAATTTTCACCTGAATACTACTTTAGTGAAATTCGCGGTACGCAGTACTCAGAACCCCAACCTTTCTTTCAGGGAGCAACTACTGAATGTTTCCAGCCTGACTCGAAGCGTGAGCTGCCAGCAAAGCAAAGCTTACAGGAAAAAATGCAGCGAAGTTCTTGAAGGATGCGAAGCACCTGTTTGGAACTGCATCTTGCCTATGACTTTGCCTAAACAGCGAGAAGACCCTAGAGAGACGACTTGGAGAGATAGGCGTCAGAAATTGCCGATCAAGTGATAGGCTTGCTTCATCTGGAAGTTCCCAGCAGGAGTGTGCAAGTTCGTTGATTGTGCGTTGCGTCCAAAACCTGTCCTCAATAGACTTTACGAAGTGCTCGTTCGAGATAATACTGAGGTATTCCGCGTGGAGGCCGTTGAGGAATAGCCATAACCAAGGACCTGTCCAGGCGTATGTCGCCAGCTCTGAAAGCCAGCGCATCAAATGGTAATGGGAAAAAGTTTTTGCTTCCCATTCACTACACACGGTAAGCCAATGCAGACTGGTTTCGAGCAAAGTGATATTAGCATAGTGCATACAGCTAGTCCGCGTACTGTGGCTACCTAACGCCTACCTGGTATGGCATAGTGCACCTTAACTGGCAAGTCACGTTCGTCTCTGATGATGCAGGCAAGGCCTGTGTAACAGTCTTGTACAATGCTCCGCTCGAGTTCAATATCCGTCAGATAATTGGTCTTCAACTCAAGAAGAGTATTGTAAGCCGCTTTTGCGTCAGATAAAACCCAGGAACCCTCTGTGAGCTTGCTGCCTTGGTCAGCGAATTTGCCAGTAGTAATTGGTGATGTTTCTCCCGGGTGCAGTTCAAACTGATAAGAATGCCTATCTCTAATTTTGCAAACCCCCGTAGTCACGTCTTTTGCTGTCAGCTTGTATTGCCGGCGCAGTAAGAACTGGTGGGAAATCTGGTCTCCGTCCTCGAATTCTGTAGCCACCACACAGTTTTTGAGGAAGCGAATCACATTGTACCCGCGAACGGGCGGAGTGCAATATAAAGCTGCATGGTCAACCATATGACTACAGGAGGAACACTAGCGCACTTCATGCACCTACTTCGAACGATATGGAGACTAGCATCAGTGGCGATTTGGAAACGGTTGGCATCTTCAAGCACAAAAGTGCAGAGATCTACACGCTCAACCATTCTGTATATACCACTGTGCTGTCTGTCTTCTTCAGGAGGGATGCGCACTAAGTGACCCTTGGGTACACCTGCAGGAATATAATTTACACAGTCAGTAGCATGCCATTCCACACTCCTAGCATTTCTTTTGTTGTATCAAGACTCTAGCAGGAAATCGCACAGTGAACGTGCGCGTTTTACGCACTCGCTGTGAGAAGGAAGCGCTTGACTTCTTCGAGGTCCGGAACCGGAGCCGCCAGGTCTTTCTTCTCGTAGTATGCCACTAAGGCTACGTATTGTGCGTATGCCTTTCCATAGAAGGAGCCGGGCCTGCATCGTTTGTTGCGTGAGTTGCCTTGGAGCCGCTGCAGTAGCCAATGCTCAAATTCACGCGCAAGCTGCTGTGAGTCTGAGTCAATTAGTTGTTGAAGGAAGGCGCCTGGGCTCTCAATGTAGAGCGTTCGTTTGTCTGCAACGTGAACAACAAAGTCCAGAAGCCCATCGCTACTAGTTCAGGGTGACTCAAAAGTACATACGGATGCCCAGTGCACGCTAGAGCTGACATTTATCCACTTCCATGCAAGAAAGCGAAAGGTCCTCGGGTGCCAAATTAAATAACAGCATCACTGACAGGAGTAATCAAAGAACGTCTCCTGCATTCTTCTCAACACATGGTCCACGCCCGCTTCCAGACTCAACTCCTTTTCCACCGCAGATGCCAACGTCGCCAGTTCCCCAAAGTCTTGCGCGTACTGCTTCACCACCATACGCTCTTGGTCTGCTACGTCGAGATCCAACACTTCCCATCTGATGTTCTCAGCGGATTCGGTGCAATTGAGAATGACTGTCCAAGATTCCTCTGAAACACGATTCAAACATCACAACCTTGCAGTCCTTGAGAGCGCCAACTGGCGGTTGGTCACAACTGAGCTGCTACTGATTTTCGGGGTTCTTACTGAACGGCTTCCCGTCGACGCCATCTGCAGAAAAATGGAACGAGAAAAGGAAACGGGTAGAAAATGTCTGCATTTCCCAGTTATCTGAAGTTGGAGACCTTACCTAGTCTACAAACCTTTTCTGGGTGAGGTTGTTCTGCTCTTCATACGCTACCAGGAAGCTACCTCATATCAGCTAGATGCTACAGCAGCAAGCAAAAGATTGACTTAGTACTGCAGCAGGCAGGCAACAGCTCACTTCGCCTCAGCATATTCTCGAGGTTCCTCCGACTTGGATTGTGCCACTCGGAAATGTCCTGCTGAAACTCCAGGTCTCTTGCTTCTGGGTAAGCAGACTGTAGGAGCTTCTTGGTGAGGTACCATTCTCGGAGGAACAGAATGGTTCCTCGCATACCCCCGGCCGTTCTTAGCTGGAAGCCTTCCCCTCTACTGAAGCTGTCGAGAATGGTATCCACGACATTCTTTGGAAATAGAAACCGGAGTACGTGGGACAGCGTCATGAAGGTTTGAGGAGTAAGTTTGTCACTCGCATATGAAACTTCCACTCTATTTGCAGGCAATCCTTCCCAAGGAGTACCTTCGCGATGCACTGTACTAGCATCCTCTTGAAAGTAATTCAGGTACGACTTCAGTTCTTTTCCAGCCTCACATCGGAAAGGGTCGATGCGTTGTAGCATATGCAAAGGCCTCCCTACCAGATGCACTACTTTGCCTCTGGCCTCCAATACTATCCTCAAGAAATCAGGTGCTTCGTTAGAAACCTTTATCCTCATAGATATTTTGGGGCCGTGGGATTTCTGGTCGCACGAGCACAACAGGACTGCCATGCAGCAATTCTTCGAATTTGCCTCCTAAATTCCGACAAAATGCAGTTGTGGCTGGTGCTATACGGTGTTATGAGCATAATTGTACTTGTACTTACCTTGAGCCGCCTAAGGAGACGACCCCATGCTTGTCGGGCTAGAGTGATGAGAGTCAAGAACGGAGATAATAGCTCCTATAGTGAAATGGACACACATCGCACACATCGGGCACGCAGGGTTTGCCTTGCAATATTCGAATCTACGCCGTTGGGTCCCCTCTTTTCGTTGAGGGTTTGCTGACCAGCAGCTCAAAGCCACAGCGCCAACTCACATTGGTCCTCGTCACTATGCTTCTCCAGATTCCCGCGAAAAGACCTGTAGGTTGAAAAGAGACAAGCCGATCCCTCACCGTATAACCAAATGCTGACCGCATCTGGCGTGGAGTCTTGGGGAAGGAGTTTAGAATCTTTTGAGTTCGAGGATCCGGCGGCTCGCGAAGCTCGAACTCCAGGGGCACGGCGGCGTCGCTGACTGATAGAACCAACGTTTTTCCTGCAGTTACCACAAACGTACGAATGGAATGGCGAGAACCATTCTGGGTGCATGCACTCACAGCCTCAGTAGTGTAGTTATCAAAGACCTTCCACCAGTGTATACGCTCAGTGCACTGAACCCACTTCCTACCCTGTAATGAGGTGAAATACAGAGGCAGCTTGCTGCATTCGCTTTCCTTTCCGTTTATTATGCATTGGTTAACCAATTCCCATGTCAAGAAGGAGTAGGGCAGATTAACACGTTCCAGCAAAGCCTTGAGGCGCGGGCTTCCTGTGGACTGCGCCGCCAACCAGAACACATTTGTTACTGAATCTGTGAGCAACAACTTAGAAGCAGCACTAATACGTGTACTAGTTACTGCGGCTTTCCAGCTAGGTTTTGGCATAGTTGCAAATTGGCTGGGAGTGTTTCTCGCAAGACGACGCACCTGTAAGCGAGCAATGAACTGGCTCATGCAACTGGATTGCCCCGGTCGAATGACAGGCTGCTCCACTCCCCTCTGAAGAAAAGAAACTTGAGATGCTTGTTGAAGAAAAAGAAGGTACATCTGTTTCATTCTGGCGGCATCCCTCCAGTTCAGCCCATGTGAAGAGTACTTCTCATCTATAACGCAACAGGTTGTTGGTCCAAATTCTAGTTTCCACCACACGAAAGGCAAAAAGCCCAAGAAGCGCAATTTTGTCAGTTCCTGACTATAGCTGTTTTGTTCCAGAACATATGATACCTTTGGCCTCCCAATTGCTCAGAGCGCTGATCAAAGGCCCCCAATCAGTTGCAACTAGTGCTCTGTAGTCCACATCTCTGTTTACCCACTCCAACAGGTTAGGCAGCTTGTGAGCGCGATCCTTCAGTGTCGAAATAAGCAGATCCTGGAACAATGCGGAATACCACTCAAAGCTAAATGCAGTTCGCCTTTCAGTACATTGAGAAACGCTTTGTCACAGAAAAGGTGGAGAAAGCTTCCGAGGCACATTGAGGGGGCTGAGAGAGTTCTCATCTTCTCACCTGCGCTTTGACGCCTACTCCCACTGTCAGAGGCTGTATCTGGTGAGAAACAAGTGGATCCCAATGGCTCGTGCTCTGGTCGAGCAATATCGTGAGGGAGATGGACTGCAACGACCGCATTATTCTGTAGTAAGTCGTACCAGGCTTTCGGAGCTCTGCAGTAACAAGCAGACAGCAATTTCAGTAGTGCCGAGCCTTTTGCTCGGGGAAGATGCAGGGGAAATGCCAGCTTTTGCTGGAAGGTACACGCAATACCTACCAGACGTAAACACATGGACAGGCGTCTCCACATGGTGCGGCAAAAACACAAAGGGGTGTTTTTCCTTGAACTTGTCAACGCTGATAGTCTCCGTAGAGAAGTCAATGAGTTGGGTAGCCGAGGGCTCTGAAGGCACCAGGGCTTGGTCGATTATGTCTCCTACATTCTGGGGGTCAAGAAAATCTCTTGCAACCATCACCATCTGCATAGATGAATTAAACCACATGTGTATCGGCTTGGTTTTATGACATGACAACTGTACACGAAGCGTGCTTACGAGATGCGCGAAAGAGGCGAACACGATGAATTTCTAAAATGCGGGGGTGAAGAAAACCCTACCGATCTTTTGAGGTTCTCGAGGACCGTTGAGTGTGTGTAGCTTTCGAGATTCTGTTTATCATTTCGTACAAAGCCACATAAGCTTTGCTCTACTGTATCCGGAAAACGCAGGTCGGATATAAGTTTAGCATACATATTATGCTTCCAACTGTCCAAGAAGAGGCTTGACAATGTTGTAACAAGAAGATTCGCGAGGCCTGCACAGAACAGTTAGAAATGGTGCAGCATCGCAAATCGTGAGAACTTGTACAGCATTACAACGCCCTTTCCTCAACAGCCCAGAAACAGCAAATTCTTGGCTGCGACCGAATTTGTAGTCGAAGACACAGAAGTGCTGCAAAACGAACCTGCAACTTGGTCAGCTTTGCTGAAAAGGAATCCAAGACCATAGGCAACAGCACAAGCTCGAAACAATGAATACAATTTGTAGTAAGACGATACAACCATAAAAAGGTTTCTCTGAGTAGTTTTGGTAATGAACGTTCGCAAAGTCGTCAAGAGAAGTCCTAGTGCACGAATTTCCTTGCTCTTCAAGGCGGTATTGCGCACTTCAAGGGGCATTTCAGCTAAGAGCAAAATGAAGGCAGCACAAAATTTCGACTAGGGGGAAAAATACGGGAACCGTTCACGCGCAGCTTACAGTGAGAGCTTCAACTCTGGATTACTAACGCCTAAACAGATCTGAGGGATATTTAGCTTTGCTGTGTACTGTACTGGCCTGCTTGTAAAGAGGCCAAGCTTGTCACTTACCATTTTGCAAAACAGGATCGATATAATGGCTGCCCGGCGGAGCGCTTGAGGCTGAAAAAGCAGCAGCGGCGTACACACATAAAACGCACCACTCTGGGGCTGGTTTCTCAAGAATGAAAGCGACATCGCTATCTTGAGCAACTCTGTGAACTGCAGCTTGTCCTTACGGCCTGCCAACTGGAGTCCAGAAAATTCGTCACTGTGCGCCAATTCATCAGCATACCCTGGGTTTCATCGAACAGCGCAGAACCGTAAATTGAAGGCCTCTTGCAAAAATCACGGTTAGGTGCATATTTATAAACTGCGTCATGTTAAAGAGTTTTAGCTCAGCGTATAAACCTCTACAACGTGCAGTCGTTTGTTCGTTCTGCCAGACTTCAGGCCCACAAATATGCCACTACCAAGCTGAGTAGTCGCTTATATAGAAAACGAATTCCACAAGCGTCCTCCATTTTTCCTATTTCGCAACGCTCCATTATTGCCGGGTGGAAATTTCGCATGCTCTTACCGACTGGGTTGGGTAGGTCTCTTCGAGAATCCCAGAGCTCGTACGATGCAGTTAAGCCCGAAGACACGATAGGCACCTCCAGCGATGCATCATGCCTGCGCACTTCCGTGGTTTTAGGATAAAATTGAGGAGAGTGTCCAGTTGTTTTTCGCGTCGAAAAAGCTCCTCTCGTCATGGCCCACAGGGTCAGCACGGCCAGGGGCCCCCAGGCCAGCCGGCCACGGCTGGAGGAGAAAGAAGTCATTATTCACTTCTGCACATGTCTTAATTTTTGGGTATTCCCTGAAAGCTCTTTCCCGGCTAGTCCCACGAGAATAATCGCCAGTGATCAGAATCCTGCTGCTACCGGCTTTAAAAGAGGTGTTCACGCCTCAGCGACACTCATATTGAGTCCCGCACAGAAAAAGTATTAAAGGCTTTGAGTCGGTAGCCATGAGAAAGAGTACTTCAGGGCACACTAGCCTGAATCACCAGGAAGCCTCTACCGACGGTTCTTGTTGCAGAGCACCGAGATGCCGCGTTCGCTGCGTAACGGTTGTTCCTGCCTCCGCTTGGGTCTTAGGATCTGGCGTTTATTCATGAAAACATAATATTTGCATGTTAAAGAATTCAAAACTGCAGAGTTTTCAATGTGATTGAACTACAATGTCTGAAGGCCCACTTAACACGCTGTCCGTCGCAGCCCTGCCAGCAGGCTTGCAAGTATGGCTGCTGCAAAGCCGGCTCTGGCCGATCATATAATTCAAATTCCCACTTCAATAATTGTTTTTATCGCTTTTACACTTATTCAGGCACTCAGGGCTACTGACGACGATTGGTGGTGCATTTATCTCTAGCGGGTTTTTGCCGTTTTCTACTGCGCTGGTCAGTTGGATGTGTCCACGGATTAAACAATGAGATCAGGGGGTTAAACATTGACAAATCCACCCACAAGTTTTATGTTTTGTGATTACTGCTCTCCCGGCGGTCAGGCGTCTCAAGACAAGTGCATTCCAGGGCAGCCGCCAGCCCGGGCACGCTGGATGGATCAGCAATTCGTCTATGCATATCCGTGTACTTACGCATGTGCGATTATCTCCTGGAACATCCAAGCATGAGGGCGTTTAGCCCGAACTGACGGGAAAACATGGGCTGATTCAGTAGCTAGCTTTTGGATAGCGTAGCTGTATCACTTTTGTTCCGTAAGCGATAGTCTTCAACGGAAGAATGGCGAAGATCGGCAGTAGAAGTTATTATCATTATGGAGCATGCAGACGCAAAGATGAGCTATACCTGACTTTTGGCGAGTGTTTGATCGCGAATGACTGCACTAAAAGTCATTGCAAACGACTTATTAGGAGTGGCCCAACGAGCAGGCCACGCGCAAGTATCACTGGTGGGCGACAAGTGCTAACTCCGCTTCTCGATATTTCCCAGCATAGCTAAAGGTGAGCCTGCTGCACAGAGGAATCAAACAACTAGATACCTCAGTTCCTACGCAGGAACTCAGGTATCCTACACATGTAGACCTGTGCGGCTAGGGCAGCACTGGAAATAAGCTAACCGACTCGCTGTCTAGATGTATGCATGAAGTAAAGCACAACTTAAAAAGTGGGAGCAGAGGCTTTTAAGGTGCAATGCACACATCGAGTGTCAGGTAGGTCTTCAGTGAGCAAACGATTCCATGGCTTTTTGCATCATGCATTTTTAATACATGGCGGAGCTGCCAAATAGTCACGGAGTCTCAGAGGCAATGAGCAGTGAGCACACCCCAACATGCTTCAGGAAAAAGGCTGAGTAGTAACGCCATTGATAGGGTCTGTATGAAATACCTGCTGGTGCAGTCCGTGTCATTTCCCCTTTCGCTTCTTAGCCCAGGGCATTTGGCCATACATACATATTTTTGCGCCTGCTGGTTTTTCCTGAGATACTTCAAAGGTGAAAGTAAAGGTTGAAGGCTAAAACTGCTGATGCTACTGAAAGCATGATCTTCTGATCAGCAGCTCATCAGCATGAGCACGAACTCGTACGACGAGTCATTCTTTCCGCACCAGACGCATCGAGAAACTACGGAGATGCAAGAAGTAAGCAAAAAAGGGGTTTGAGTGCCTAGCCGCGTTTGTTTGGTGTGTGAAGTGCACAAGAGATTCGGTGTTTCAGATTTGGTTGGCCAATTGGACGGCGCACATTCGCTATGATGTCACTGACTTAAGAGACTCTTTCCCCATATTCTGCTACAGTTTTGTACCGGCCTATGGCCTGCACAACAGAGTTTTGAAACTACGTATGTCTGGGCCAGCATTGCCGACGTTTACCTTGGTGTGCGTACACCCCAGTGGGATGCGCAGAGGGAAAAAACCATCCTGCGAAAAATGTCAAACGCCGCCTTCAGCATCGACTCTCTCGGCAGCAAGCCACAACAAGAATGCATGCACACACTATTTTAGCTCTCGTTCTCGCATGTGGCCTCCACCGGAAACAGCACGCAGTCCTTGTTCAGGGAGTGCGTGTTCAGAATTCTGCAAGAACGGAGGCGCAAGTACAATCGAACGCCGCAACCCTTCTGCCAAATTTAAGTATTTTCGAGAAATACGGGCCTCAGTTTGTAGCAGAGCTTATACGGTTCGACCGCATGGAGAGAGGTACGCTTAGACGTGGGTACAGCAGCACATGTTTCACACGTGCTACTGAGGAGAAACGTAACAGGCCCGGTTTCATTGTATCGGGACGGGCATTCGCTTATTTTGTCGGGAACAAGGGCACACTTGATGTCCGTCAATGATGAGAAACACCACGTCCAGCTGGGCCCAACCATTCTTGACGGGTCCCTATCCTCCACGGCGCCTCTTTCCTCAGCTGGGAACAATGAGTGGTGATTCATGATGCAGTTTGAGTTGTTTCTGCAGCACTAAAAGAGGCAGTCTGCAGGTATTTGGCTCGTTTGAACACGTTCCAAGACGGGGAGTCAGCGGACGGCATCTGGTCATACAGTGTAAGGTGCACTCATTTCAAATGCCTCCAGTTGGGGGCGATGCTTTCCCCCCTCGCCAGTCCACAAGCTCTTGCGAAGGCTCGTACGACAAATTTCTTGGAGGCCACTGGTAAGACTGCTTCGAGGCGCACTTCACGAACTGCATGCAACAAAAAGCCAGTAAACTGGCGGGAAAGACCGTGCGGGCTGCCTACTTGGACTTGCCTGAGCACACAAAACTGAAACTCAAGGCGCGTGCGCACTTCTTCGACAAGTGGGAAGGTAAAATGATGCACTGCCACATCTTCTAATCGCTCCAGCATACAACTTGTTTTAGGGGAAAGCGTCTACGTGAAGATTAACGGGAAAATCGTTTGGACGAGTACGCAGTGCTTGACGGAACTATGCGCACTCCATTGTCTTTCATATCGGATTAATTTACTTATGATACACCTGGTGCAGAATCCTCTAATTGGTGTCCGCAAGTGAGTTTATCGCCGAAGGGCAACACCTCAAGATCCTCTGAATGCGCGCAATTCATATTCGTTTGGATAATGTAGAGGGCGGCCCAAGTGAGTTGCGACGGTTGAGATTAGACTGCCTGGCCAAAGAATTTCCAGTGACTCCATCAACCGCTCAGGTGTGTGCAAGGCGAGGAGTCGACAGCTGCGGCCACTCCTACCCCGACAGGCTGTCTGTAGGCTTATCATATGCCGCATGGCAGTGAACAGGCTGAGACAGACTGGGAGGATTTTGATATTCCAGGTGCCTCTGGAGGTTGAACTGAGCCACACAGGACCCGCTCTCCTCCTTTCTTTTGGAAGGTAAATTGTTGTTCATTTGGCGCTCTCTTTTTGCTTTTTTCCGTTCAATCTGATGTCCGCAGCACCATGGCAAAGACGGCAAACCCATGCGTAGCATCTTGGGGCATCGATGACGTGGCGGTTTACCTCCATTAACAGAAACCACCACCCAAGAGCTTCTTCCAACTCTGAACTATTTATGATTCCGGCCTTCAAACTCGGCACTATATCTTTGCGTTTTTGTTCCCCTTCAGTTATCATTGGACTGCGTTTTTCCTTGATAAATTTCATCTCAAGCTTAGCGCATCTCCATCCTACCTCACCCCATGCGGACGACGGTTAGGGTGAAGTACCATTTCGTCGTGTTCCACCTTGCAAGGACACTGGGGACTAACTATTCGTTTGGCTGCTCTTTAGCGAGACATTTGGCCTTACCGCAGACAACTTCAACACCGACTGCATTTGCTTCCCTGCAACTGCAGCGAGCTATCCTGCCCGCAGCACCAATCTTGGCTGCTCAGCTAGGCAACAGTGTCCACCAATTCAAGCCATGAAATCCACAATACACCACTCCATAAGTATATAGAGAATTCTCGATGCACCTGTGTGGATGGGTGAAGAACAGCCGCCTGTTTTCCGCGGCACTTGCGTGCAAAGTGCTGCGTATGCACACCACCGGATCGTCCTGCCGGCACCTGCATTCCCCTACATGCAGTTCCGTACAACTCTTGCAAAGTGCACTGTCATGTTTGCACAAAAAATCCACTCCAACAGACGGCAGCAGTGCCACATCTATAGTTTGTTGTTGCAGCGAAGTTGCACGTTGGCACATTTCCCGCGAAAACGGTGCTTCAGAAGTGCCTGAAGGAAGCATTAAGTCTGTCCCCTCTCTAACGAGAGCATATGTATTTAGAAAGCAGCTACCGCCCCCGACATCTCTCAGCCTAGTGCAGTCATTTGAGAAGTCAATCATTGGTACTCATTGCAGTCAGTTCGGCAGCATCGAAAAGGCGCACAAAACCCATATTCTGAATTAAATCCATTGAAGTCCTGAAGGCTGCAAGGGTGGAGGCGCTTCTGCAGTGCTCCAGGACCATCCTGATCTCAAGACGCGCTGCTGTCACACGCCTTCCACGGGTTTTTGGTGTGCTCATGAGAAGACGCTCCAAGCGTTTTTTCCAATAAACTTGATGCGCGCTTAGACCTTAGCTGCAGGAAACGCAGTCCTCACTGTCACTTGTGTGATGCACTGCTCAGCAGTCACGGTAGTGACTGCTGAGCAGTGCAGTGCGGACGTGCTGCTGCCTAAACAACAAATGCATGCAGCTGCTGGGAGGACTCGGGAAATCATACAGTTCAGTGCACCAGTAGCGGACTGCTGCTGCAGTGTATCCTTTCATATCAGTCTACAGTTTAGCTGAGGAGAAAGGGGCTGTGGACGAGCAAGAAAAAATATCACTAGAGAACTGTTTTAAGGCATAATACTAAAAAAACAGCAATCTTTCCGTCGTTTGCCCAAAACGAACATATCAGGACGTTCTTGATTACGCAAGGAGCAGCACAAATGGCACAGCCTTTTTAGTCTGCTGCAGGTTGCACTAACAGGCGTGCTGCATCGACAGGCCACGCGACTGTCCACTGGCGCAGACGCATGTCCCAAAGTCAAGTATATATATATATATATATATGTTTACTTCATACGGGGCAGACTCCTGCAGCACAACAAACAAGCCCGCATGCAAAGAGAGAAAACGAATACGGAAGTATTGCGCCGCAGAATCAGTTACTCAATAATACCTAATATCCACAGGAGCAATGGGGAGAGAGCTGCAGAGACAAACGCGCTGCAGCCGTACCTCCCCCGTGTGTCTGTAAGTGTTGGGTATCTTTCGTCAAAGTACTTCTGAAACGCTCCGTATTCCCAGGCTCTCTCAACCTTCTTGGCCATGAGTTTCATGTTCTTCCCTGTCCAATGTATGTACTTCTGCAGATGAAGCGTTAGCCGCTTCCTCGAGCCTTCTGGCGGCTGCCGCGTCTCATAGAACATCCTGAAATATACAAAGCAAAACACAGAGCAGGAAAGGGCAAAGAGGCTTCTAAGAAGGGCTTCACAATACTTTACATTACATGTGCAAATGTACGACAAGGTGAAAGCATAAAGAGGAGTGCATACACCTGTGATGCTTCAACCACTGTTGCTGCCACGGTACGCAGTACGCAGTACGCAGTATGCACTTGCCTACGCAGTACGCAAGTGCACAGCGGTGCTCAGGAAATACTGACGAGCGCATGCATCCGGTTAAATGTGCAAAAAGAAGCTGCGAACTACACAAGCCTTACACATGTTTGCCCGCTCTTGGATCGTGTTTCCTCAGTGCAATTCTCGTATTCTTTTTGCTAGGTGACTTGTGCGTCATGTAATAGAAATTTGACAGGGCGGCGCTCTTCAGCTGCACAAGCAGGCGCTTACTACGACTACGCAGCAGGAAGGGGGAAAGAAAAAACATTTTGGGGATCGGGCTATATGCAAAGATATATATGGCGTAGAAGTGCGCTGTGCATACCACCCCATGACACCGCAGAACCCTTTGAGGCAGAAATGACACAGGAAAGGGCAAGGAGGAATACTAGACAGAACTACACGAAGGAAATGCAGACAGAATCAAAAGAAGCGTTTTTTGAGACTACATAATCCCAAGACCCTCCAACAAGAGGATAACGTAGACGACAGGACACCCGGCCGAGGTCTAGCAAAAGAACAGGAGCACACTAATATCACTTTGGTAGCAGTGACAGTGAGCGAATTCCTGTCACCTTAAATAATCTACAAAACACAAAATTTCAACTTTTTGAATATTTTCTCCAACCATATGAGGGCATGCTCGCGGTAATTGGGGGGCCCAGCCCCAGCAGTGCATGTATGCTTCCAGCAAGGATTCTGCTGGTGGCTCGGAGAGATGTTTGTTTGCAACGCACATAAAATCACTATCAATAATGCTCATATGTTGCATTCAGTTTGTGCTTGTCAACTAAGTGCGTATATGCCTCGGGTAAAGCTAAGCTGTGACGGGCCTTAACTGTAGCTACTGGGAATCCATTCACTCGGTTTGTCTCGTTTGCTCCGCTTATTCGCCTAACGTAACTGTGACAGAAAGGAAGCAGTCGATGCTGAGACAATGAAGGGCTGTCACTGCATTCAGATATTCAAATATGTAACATGAAGCGTACACTACACTAAAAGTTATCTCCGTTTCCTTACACACAGGAACCAACCTTTGTCTCGTCACCGCCTCTCAGAACACCCGGCCAGTACACAGTAGTTCACTTCTGTCCGTTTTGTGGGTCTTATCCGACGTAAAGTGTTGTTGATCTTTCGTGCACTGCACTGCTCCATTGGGGAGTATTCCCCAATAAACAACCCATTTGGAGACGGAGGCGGCGGTTGTTGCCTTCCCCTTTCCCCTGCCTGTGCGTGCAGAAGGCCACCTACTCTGCGAATGGTCCATCCAGCAGCCGAAATGTACATGTAGATATTACGTACGCAATATATATATATATATATATATA